TTTTTGAATGTGTCGAAGAGAGTTAACATCACGTATCGAGCTTTTCAGTCACAGAAAAGCTCATGTAAGAAAACGCCTTGCAGAACCGTCTTCTGATGCGTGTCAAATACTCGTCAGCGAGTAATGGAAGTAGTAGTGTTCTTATTGGAAAACGCGGTACACGTGGATCGTAAAAACGTTACAGGATGGCGCGTCATATACGACGCGGTTTTTGTAAGGAGAACAAAAATTTGTATTGAAGTGAAATCTTGTGAGCTTATGTAAGTCAATTTAAAGCATTTTCTAAAGTTATCTAGAGTTCCACAGAGTGTCCCCAAAAAAACTTACAAATCAAAGTTGTGTTTTTTGTAATGAAATACCCATATATTAATTGATTTTCGGATTCTAATAAAAAAATAAAGGCGACTTTCATTAGAAAAGTATATGAATAAAATGTCTAGTTTTTGAAATACATTCACCGGCATGAAAATGGACACCTAAAAACTTTGATGTATTTTAAAGTTTAATATATTTTTTTCCAGTCGGCCGATTTTGATGGTTTTTTAAGTAGTATGTAGCTAAGTTATTTGACTTTTTAGAAATCCTTTATGACTTCCTATATTAAAAATGAGACTCCCCATCTGTTAATTGTACGAGGGAATACAAAATGTTGATATTTTCGTGAAACATCGCTGTGGAATATGTTAAAACAGCAAGAAATTTTAAAATCTTATCATCTAGATACATCCTTTCTCGATAGTTAGTTTTTTGGTTCATCTTATTAGCTTTATTTTTGTTAGAGATATTCGCTTTTGAAGAAGACACTAACATTTTTTAATAATTTTTCATTAAGACCATGCCTTTGCTTTTTGTCCTAGTCAACAGGTTTAGTAAGTTCTGATCCCGAAGCAGACATTCTTGACATAAGGCTTCATTTAGTCTTCTTCGTATAGTCCGTTAGTTAATATGTACAGGGTGGGTCAAATTCGACGCTTTTAAATGGAAACACCCTTTTATATAGGAGATAGACGAAAAATCATATCGGTGTCTGGAGCTCAGTTTTCATCAAAAACATGATGGTGAAAACCGCACATCAATATCTGTGACCGTTTCGGAGTTACGGGGTGTTTTTCAAAAATGTGCAATTTTAACAAATCGCAACTTTCAACTTTTTTGCTATGGAAAATTTTGTATTTCTATGAAAACATTTCCAAAGCACCTTTTTACGTAGAATTTAATGGTTTAAGTATATATTTTTTAAATTAATAATTTAAGAGTTATCAACAGAAAAAATTATTTTTTATTTGGGACACCCTCTATATTTCTAATTAACTGAAAAGAATTTAAAATTACCTTTCCAAAAATATAGCACACTTGATATTTTGTTATAATTCCCTTCGAAATACAGAATTTTTAAAAGTTCGCCACTTTTAACTAGTAGGCTTTGGACGGAAGACCAAAGCCGAAGCTTTGGAATACGGACGAAGTGTTTTCGAGTTCCATTAAGGGCATATCATCAATAGGGGTATTGATGATATGCCCTTAATGGAACTCGAAAACATATTTTTCCAGTAAGACGACGCACTGCCTCCGAACGCTGAAGTTATCAGCAAATGTTTGCAGCCAAATTCAAGAATAATTGAATAGCTAACCAAGATCCCAGCCATTGGCCGTCGAGGCCGCCTGACTTAGTGTCCATGGATCTAATCCTACGGATATATTTGCGGAAGAATAAAGGTTCCTTATTCTTTCGTATTATCTAGACAAGAATTAGAAATACTCAGCAGTTATGAGAGGGTATCTTTCACCCCTACTGAGTTAGTCAATTCCGCGAGAAATGTTCAAAAACTGCCTCGTCTGTCCATAATAGAAGACGGTTGATATGTCGAACACCTGTAGGAAAATTTTATGTCTTGGTTTGCTATTTATTTTTATTGTTATTAGATATAGTTTAAATGTGTTGATGTTGGTTAAATATATTTTTAATTGTTATAAAATTCTGCATCTCTCATAGCAAATATTATTTTCGTTTTAATTGATGCTCACAGCTAGAATTTTTTGCATTACAGCCGAGCCGGTGCCGGCTGTAATGTAAATTCAAACCTTAAAATGTCAAAATACTCAACACATAAATATACACTGCCCAAATGTTCGAAAAAAATGTGTAAAGAGTCGTATTCATTTTTTTTGGAACCAGCTGTACGTTCCTTATGTGCAACTCACTATAAATTTGAAAATCTGGCAAACGGCGGTTTTTAGCGATAAACTTACAATAACTCGATCGTCTCGATTAGCAGTTCCCATACGAAGGTTCCTGGACAATTAGATTGACGTCCGCATGGACGTGGTCATAATTCAAAAACCACTCAGTATACTCTATGGAGTCTATGGTATTAAGGTATTTTTGGGACCGGAATTTTATAGCAAATTCACTGAACTAAACAAATAGGTATACAGCATTTCATTTGAAGAAGTTATAAAACTTAAGTAAAAACAAATTATATTTGACTTACCCTGTATATCTATAAAAATATTTTTGAAATATGAACTACCATTAAACACATATTTTGTAAAAGTTTTGGAGTGAATATCCCAAATAGGAATCCCGATACAGAGCTTTTATATGTATGCATTTGTACAGGGTGAGTTTCCTACGATGTTCTCTATGGGTATCTCGGAAACTACTGGAGATAGAGAGTCAGTTAAATGGGGAAAGAATTGCAGTTTTATGGGTTCATAAATATGCGCCTTTCAGATTTTTTAAAAAGTTTATGGCTGACTAGATATATCGAAAAAAAAATTTGGCTATTTTAAAAATTTTCCCTAATTCCATTATAATCTATTTTAGACAAAAAAAAATTTCAGATAAAACTTGAGATAATCACATCCCTAATGAGTCTGTGTTCCTCGATTTATTCTAAAGACTGTCATTTTTGACATATGACACAAACATATGTTTTTTTAAATGGAAACAATTTGGCCATGACTTCATAAAAAGCGACATTTTTTAAGCTTTTCAGCGATATAAGCCATAATATGTTTTTTTCGAAAAATTACTGAGTTATAGCCAATTCTTAACATTTTTAAACAATTTCACTTAGTTAGCCATGGAAACAAGATCAATCGTCGTGAAATGTAAAACTGTCGCTTCCAAACTTTGTAAATTAAAATAAACAAAAACTGTAAATAAGAATTTTCCAAATGAAGAAAAGCGTGGAGGATTATTGGTTAACTTTTTTTCGCCATACATGTTCGAGGATACGTTGACCGTTGAACATTACTTACGTTTTTTAGAGAACGGTTTTCAAGACATGTTAGAAAAGTTAAATTTAGATACTCGCGCATCAATAGAGTGGTTTCAACATGACTTTAATAATGAAAGAAATGTTAAAAATAATTTGTATCATAATTATGCAAACTCAGGGGTAGGAAGAGGTGGACCAATTGCATGGGCCTCCTCGATCACCTGACCTATCAATTTAATTTTTTTATGCAGTATGATTAATAAGGTTTACAAGAGGTTATAATAAGAGGCGGTATGATATGAGAGAACTTTAATTAAGTTGACCGGTTTTTCAAAAAATTACTGAGTTATAGCCAATTCTTATCTTTCTTGACTAATTTCATTTAGTCATGGTATTCTTATTTTGTTATGATTTATAACTTATATAAAGACAAAATATATTATTAAACGGCTATTTACAATTTACATTACATAAACTAAAACTTAAAAAAATAATATCACTACATACACTTTAAGTTATTTTAGAAAATGTTCAAAAAATCCGCCATTGTTTTGAGTACATAAATGCATCTTTTTAAAACTGAATTTCTAGCTTTCTCACAGAACGACCGGTCGATTTAATTAAACTTCTCCTGTATCGCCTCTTCGAGTGAATCTTTTAATTCATAAGTTTTTTTGTAAACCTTCTTGTTAACCATACCGCATAAAAAATCTTAAATGGATAGGTCAGGTGATCGAGGAGGCCAATGCAATTGGTCCACCTCTTTCTATCCCTGATCTACATAATTTACATAATTATGATATAAATAATTTTTAACATTTCTTTCATTGTGGGGGGGGGAGGGTATGCCTCAATGGCATTGGAACCGCTTTATTAATGCGCAAGTATTTAAAATTAACTTTTCTAACATGTCTTGAAAACCGTTCTCTAAAAAACGCAAGTAATGTTCACCGGTCAACGTATCCTCGAAACTGCGTATGGCCAAAAAAAGTCGAATCAATAATCCTCCACGCTTTTCTTCATTTCAAATATTCATATTTACAGTTTTTGTTTATTTTAATTTACAAAGTTTGGAAGTGACAGTTTCGCATTTTACGACGATTGATCTTGTTTCCATGGCTAACTAAGTGAAATTGTTTAAAAATGTTAAGAATTGGCTATAACTCAGTAATTTTTCGAAAAAAAAACACATTATGGCTTATATTGCTGAAAAGCTTAAAAAATGGCGCTTTTTATAAACTCATGGCCAACTATGGTTTTCATTTTAAAAAACATATATTTGTGTCATATGTCAAAAATGACAGGTTTTAGAAAAAATTGGGGAACACAGACTCATTAAGGATGTGATTATCTACAACTTTTATCTGAAATTTTTGTCTAAAATAGATTATAATGGAATTAGGGACAATTTTTAAAATATCCAAAATTTGTTTTTTCCAAATATCTATTAAGCCATGAACTTTTTCAAAAATCTGACAGGCGAATATTTATGACCCCACAAAACTGCAATTCTTTCCCCATTTAACCGACTCTCTATCTCCAGTAGTTTCCGAGATACCCATAGAGAACATCGTAAACGGTAATATCATAAACATCATAATCGGTAAACTTTGTAATATATCTTATTAACAATACAATGCAAAAAGTTTTATAAAAATTCGTTCACAGTGAATTAATTCCGAGGTTTGTATCCTATAGGGGCTTAAAGCACTCCATATAAAAATATATATTTTTTTCAATAGTACCCTTTTAAACACTGAGATATATTGCTTTCAGGTGGACGTATAGACCATGCCCATCACTACAACAACGCCTACCGGGCCTTAGACGAGACACTGGCGATGGAAACGGCCCTGCTCGTCGCCCTGGCCATGGTCAATCCCACCGAGACGCTGATCGTCGTGACGTCGGATCATTCTCACGTGCTCACGATGGGCGGACAAGCGACCCCCAGGGGCCACCCCATTCTCGGTAAGTTTAGTTGACTAATGCACCGAAATGCATCTTGCAAGTTGGGATTTAACGCCAGCCAGCGGTTTAATATAATTTAGGGCAAATTGGAGAGATTTATTTCAACTGTTCCGCCATTAACGTTGCCTGTTTGACTACTTAATGTATGTCTAAGCTAAAATTTACGCCGCAACGTATTTCTGTGTATGGTTTAGGTGCCGTAATGTAATAGGTAAATAAATTTAATTACGGCATTTCTTCAGCTGACTTCAGCATCAAATTAAGAGACTATTAACTAAGACACAAATTAATAATTTAGATATGTCGCAGGCATATTGAATAATCCGGTTGTTTAGCAAAGAGACTCGGCAGATTATAAAACGCTGGTATTTTACACAAAAGAAGTTTTTTTACACAGGGCCTATCCATTTTTAGACGCTTTGCAAAGTACCTAATCAGAATTAGGTAGGTTAAATTAAAATAATATACAGGGTGGCGCCTCTTATACGACGCGGAGACTCCAAGGAGAACGACATTTTGTATTAAAATAAAATTTTCTGAGCATATGTAGGTTAGTTTAGAGCATTTTTTAAATTATAGAGAGTTCTACAGTGTGTCCCAAAAAAAGTTACACATCAAAATTGTGTTCTTTTGTAATGGAACACCCTATATATTAATTAATTTTCAGATTCTAGGAGAAAAATAAAGCAGAGTTTCATTAGAGAATTATATGACTAAAATGTAAGGTTTTTGACATATTTAACAGTTTCTGAAAATGAAGAACAAATTTATAATTTCAATAAAAGCCCCCTAAATTGGAATATAGCCTAATATGTAGTTAAAACAACTATTGTATTCTAAATGAAATTACAATTTGACCCAAAAAGTTATACAGGGTATTAACATTGGTCACATTTAAAAGCAAGTTACTCTTTTATTTTAAATAAAACTCCCAGTATATTATTCCTATATTCAATGGGGAATTCATGTCTCTTCAAAGTACTATTAAGGTTGCCTACCCCTCAAACAAAGATTTTCCTAGATATGTTTATTTTTATGATTTAGTGACAGTAGATCTTCATTATTTGGCAAAATCTAGGTGGCTGTGATATGTCTGACGTTACTTCAACCTATATGTCAAATTAGTTCAACTTTAACAACTAGTTATCAATTTGTGTCAGTGAAAACAAAAAGAATTCTCAGAAATTTGCCGAAAATGGAAACTTATCCCATATTAGAGAAAATTGATATGATTTTCTAAAATCATAAAAATGAAAATATCTAAGAAAATCGTTGTTTAAAGGGTAGGCAACCTTAATAGTATTTTGAAGATATATAAATTCTCCATTGATTATTGAAATAATATACCGGGTGTTCTAATTAAAATAAAGGAGTAACTTGCTTTTAACTGTAACCAGTGTTCGATATTAATTGTGTCTCATCCTGTATAACTTTTCAGGTCAAATTTTAATTTGATTTAAAGTACAATAGTTATTTTAACTACATAATACACTATACCGGATAAATTATAATTTAGTTAGCATTTATTGAAATTTTAAATTTGTTCTTCATTTTAGAAAATAATAAAATATGTCAAAAATCTTACGTTTTAGCCATATACTTTTTTAATGAAACTGACCTTTATGTTTCTCCTGGAATCCGAAAATCAATTAATATATAGGGTGTTCCATTACAAAAACCACAACTTTGAGGTGTAACTTGTTTTGGGTACACCCTGTAGAACTCTATATTTTTAAAAAATGCTTTAAATCAACCTACATATGCTCACAAAAGTTCATTTCAATACAAGCTGTAGTTCTGTACATTACTGTCAAATACAGCCTATTTTCAGTAATTTTACAAAATTCTAAATTGAGGTCAGGCAGATTAAAAAATGATCAAAGTTTTTATTAGGTAGGCACACATGAGAGGAGAGGTAATCCCGATCTGTAATTCCAATCCCGCCGATCTGGTCTGCGAAGGGATAGATCTTTCATTGCCCACTAATGTAAATATCAAATATCTCATTTTCTTAACGGGAATAGTCTGTGAAGGGACAGATCAGCTAGCTAGTTGAAAAATTCCTTCAAACTTTGAAGGGAGTGAAACGCGGGTTAGATATTTTTACTCGCAAAAATTCTCGGCAGATTTTCGATCTGGATCTATTCCAGGATGGAGAAGAAAAAAAGTGGTATTATTGGGTTTGTGTATGATGGAAATTGTGAAAAAAAATTATTTATACATTTTTTTCTTTGCATTTATAATTTTTTGTTTTAGTAGTTTTAGTAAATTCGTAATTATTTCCTTCTTCATTTTTTGATTTTTTTTAATTCTTTTTCTAAGTAAGTTTCTATAAAATATCTATTCTGCTTATATTCTAATCATTGAAATTTTGATTGAAAGCGAATTATACAGGGTGGCGCGTCATATACAACGCGGTTTTTGCAAGGAGAACAAAAGTTTGTATTGAAGTGAAATTTTCTGAGCTTATGTAAGGGTCAATTTCAAGAATTTTCTAAAATTATGTAGAGTTCTACAGGGTGTCCCCAAAAAAGTTACACATAAAATTTATGTTTTTTTTTTGTAATGGAACGCCCTATATATTAATTGATTTTTGGATTCTAGGAAAAAAAATAAAGGTTTGTTTTATTAGAAAAGTATATGACTAAAATGTATAGTTTTTGAAATACATTCACCGGCACGAAAAATGAGCACCTTAAAACTTTTGATGTATTTTAAAGGTTAATATATTTTATTCTAATGGGTTGATTTTGATGATTTTTTAAGCAGCGTGTAGCCAAATTATTTGACTTTTTAGTATCTTTTTCTAAATTAAACATGAAATTAATTATCATCTGTTAATTAATTATACGAGGGAAAACAAAATGTTGATATTTTGATGAAAGTTTGAAACACTCTGTGGAATATGTTAAAACAGCAAGAAATTTAAAAATAATTTTATCATCTAGATACATTCTTTCTCGATGGTTTGTTTTTGGTTTATCTAATTAGCTTTATTTTTGTTGGAAATATTCGCTTTTGAATAAGACACTTTTTTCGTACTTTTTATATTAAGACCATGGCTTTGCTTTTGGGCCTAGTCAACACATCTAATAAGTTCTTGTCCCAAAGCGGACCTTCATGACTTTTTATTTGCTTCATTTAATCTTCTTCTCTTCTTATAGTCCGTTAGTTAATATGTGCGTTCTTTAAGTTCAATTCATTATCAATTCGAAAACGGCGCGGCGGTTTCTTAGCGATAAACTTACAATAAGTCGATCGTCCCGATTAGAAGTTCTCATACAAAGGTTCCTGGACTTCTAGATTGACGTCCTCATGGACGTGGTTATAATTCAAAAACCACTTAGTATACTCTATGGTATTAAAGTATTTTTGGAACCGGGATTTTATAGCAAATTCACTGAACCTAAACTGACTCACCCTGTATATCTATAAAAATATTCTTGAAATGTGAACTACCATTAAACACAAATTTTGTAGAAGGTTTAGATTGAAAATCTCAAATAGGAATCCTGATACAGAGTTTTTCCGGGATACGGAGCCATCTTGTACGTATGCATTTGTATATGTGTGTTTATTTAAATACTAAAGTGAAAGCAACGAATTTAAATGGGTAAACCTTGTAATATATTTTATTAACAATACAATGCAAAAAGTTTTATAAAAATTAATTCACAGTAAATGAATTCTGAGGTTTGTATCCCATAAGGGCTATAAGCACTCCACTATAAGTTTAAATACAAAATATGTAAAAACATATACTTATTACTAATTACACAACTTAAGTGTTACTGCCGTGACGCACCCTGAGTTGCACATTATTCCACTTTTCTTGCAACAGCACCTGTTTGTGTATAACACTGATCTTCTTACAAGAACATTAATGGAACCCTTGTCCGCCAATTTTAGATTCCATAGCTCCAGCAGTATTATTTTGTCTTGAAGTCTCTTGATAGAAGTGAATTCGTGGTAGCCAATATTTTAACACAGTCGACTCTGTAGCAATTTGATAGACACCATTTTCACATTTTACGACCTGACCCAGTAAATTTGGTTTATCACTTTTATAAACGACATACTTTTGGCACTGCCATGCCACAGGCACACTAGAATCAATATCTACAGGCTTAAACTTTTTAGCAGGTGATCCTAATATTTAGTCTCCTGATTTTTTGTCCTGTGTATTTTTCCTAATTTTGAGAAAGGTTTGGTTAACTGTCTTTTTGCACAAATGTGCAGCAAATTTAATATGCCTAATTGTGATTAGTTGCAAAGCGATTGAAAACAGATAGACACATTAATTTATTGAATATTATACAGCGAACTAAATGTTACTAATATTACGTTAACAAAATTATATAGAATTGTTATTTTTGAATAGAAACACCTCAAAATAAAACACTAAATCACCACGATACACCAAAACACTTTTACTTTTACACTGAAGGCGCGTTTCGCTTACCATGTTAGCATCATCAGCAGATGATTATAAACTCTTTTTTGAGTTTTTGAAATTCAGTTTATAATCATCTGCTAATGATGCTAACATGGTTAGCGAAACGCGCATCCAGTGTAAAAGTAAAAGTGTTTTGGTGTATTGTGGTGATTTAGTGTTTTATTTTGCTGTGTAACACCAAAGGTTCCAACCCTCAACTGTAATAGAGACACCTATTTTTCTTCCTCTTATTGCGTAGCTAGATATTCTGTGCTCTTAGTTTATTTGTCATCAAAAATAAAGGTAACATCGCATAAAGTTGTTTATGCCTAACTAAACTATAATTGGCAATAGTTTTCCAAATATTTGAAAATTAATATTTTTATGAAGGTAATTCACTAGCTAATAAGTTAACAGATACTTCCAATTAAATTAAAAACTATTTTCTTACACCACTTGCCATGGCTAGTTTTGATCTAATAAAGGAAAGAGCAATATTTATTATCCTTGATTACAGAACTTATGACCGAGAAAAATCAAAGGTTTTCCTTGATTTAAGTAAAAACAATCTTCGGATTGTCACGGGGTTTCTAACAGGACACTGTCTCCTCAACGGACACCTCAGTAGGCTGAAACTGAGAAACAACGGCGAATGCAGATTTTGTGGGGAAAATGGGGAAACACCAGAACACCTTATCACTGAGTGCGCCGAGACGACAACCATTCGTCGAGGATGTCGAGGATGGAGAGCTGGCCTCTGTGGAGCCGTTTCAGATACTGGCTTTTGTTAAAGCCCTGAGACTGTATGATGAGTTATAACTCGTTATAACTCAAGAAAGGGGAACACACAATAGATCTATAAGGTCGCGGTGATTAACTCCCCTCCTTAACATTCTACATATCCTTGATTACTTTATAACTAGTTTTATAAAAAGTATAATATTGCAGTGAAACCTGGTGCTTAGCGCTGCGGAGCTGCCAAGCTTCCAGGCAAAGTTCATAAACTAGTAATTTATTTTAAATATTTTCCATTATTATAAAGCCATATGTGATATTTTAATGTTTTTATTGTAATTTATTCATGTATATCTTTGCCCTTCTTTTTCATTTAAAAATAAAATGCGATTTTATGTAAAAAGGCTGCTTACAGCATAATATCCTTATTCATGAACAATTTGTTAAATAAGTAGTTTTGGTGGAGATAGAGTCTTACCAACAACCCCTGTCGGCCCTGCCTCAAATAGTTGACAACTTATCTTAACCAGGTGTAGAAAAAATTGAAACAAAAGTGAATGATAAACTGTCGGACACATAGAAGTTGCAAACAATTTAAATAGATTCACACCTTAATATTCCAATTCTTTCCAGGACCGGACAGTAAACTATCCGACGTGGATGGTCAACCTTACACGACGATTTTGTACGGCAATGGTCCAGGATTTGCCACTCCCCGAATCGTACCCATGAACACAAGTTCCGCAGTTGAGGACCGAAACCAAGTACACGGAGCCGCGGTACCCAGACAGTGGGGCACGCATGGAGGTGAAGATGTGCCTGTGTATGCTTTGGGGCCCCTTGCTACGACTTTATTTACAGGTAAATTAATAAGCACAATATCACATTTTGGATTTTGGACCATATAACTACGGATTTGACAAATACAAGTTTCATAAGTTCGGCGAATGTTATCCAAACTACTTTTCTCGTACATGTTTACAAAAAATGATATACCAATATAAGATGTTGTACCATCACATAAATAGCACTAACAACTATAAATATATTAGTATTGTCGCCATCAACACATGTAAGTCAATTTGTTGTTCAATTTGTTATAAGTTTTTACCTTCGCGCGATATGCCTTGCAAACTATTATCCAATAAAGTAGTTACAAATAACCTTAAAAAGAGTATTTCATAAATTACTTTCAATGTTCTTATCAAATAAAGTTTTAGTCTCATGATTAAGCTTAACCGGTATCGACATAGCGTTACCCACTTTTATATATTTTCTTTTAATCAAAATATTTTACGAAACAAAAATAACTTAATTGTTAGATTTGTCTGATATTTTAATTTCAAAGTATTTTATTTTATTTTACAAAAATATTATTTAAGTTAGGCTACCAATATGCAACTGCTAAAGACGCATTTGATTTTATCAGGTATTGTTCCTACCAGCGGGGGCTAAAGCTTCATTGGGGTCTGTGTGGCACCACCACGCCAAGAATGTTTCATTATTAGGATGATGAGTAGTATAAAAAGTATGCCTCACTGGGGTGCTAATTCTGAGGACGCATTAATTGAGTGGTTTGATGAACATAAAGAGCCTGGGACACCCTGAATAAAACACAACATAAATAAAAAAAATATTTTCTTAATTTTAATTTTAATAATTTAAGGCAAATTATGTGAATAATAGTATTTAATGTAGTGTTAAGAAGTCAAGTAAAAACGGTTGTTTAATCACACACAGCTCTTGAGCTAGACTGGACAGTTAACTTTGCAAGTCAAAGTTTAGATTCAGAACTGATAAAGGCACTTGCATGTGGAAAGTTAAATCTACAAGAAAAATACTCTTTAAAATACCCTTAGTCGGTTACAATTGTGTCATTTTCTGGTCTATATAGATTTCATGGTCCTCGAACAAGACTAAATATTTTAGGATTTTATTCATTATAGTACAAAATGTGAATTACACTAACAATAGCACATAAATGTTATATAACGTTTTTTTAACACTACCACTGCGAACGGCAGCTTTTCATCGGCGAGCAGTCATTAAGGTAAGTAATTTCGTCGTAAGGTATTTCACTGAATAAGGCATTCTCATTGGAATAAGGCATTCTCATTCTCACTGGAGAAAAACTAACTAACAATAATAAATCAAAAATATAAATAATATTGGGCGCCAGGTATGAACAGTGAAAGGAAACACAGTTGTATATTACTTAAAACTAATGACTATATTTATTCATGATGAATTCTGATGGTAAATAGCATTGTGCAATTTTAATAATTACTATAGTGGTTGTATGTCGAGTAAAGCTATGTTAGAAATAATATTAAATATGTCCAATGAAAAGACTATGGAAAAATACAATGCATGTAGAGTTATAGAAAATATATGAAAGGTAGCATTACTTTATTTAACTTTAAATTTTATGCGATGTCTTGTACGGCTGAGGGCTAAATTACTCCCACAAAATGGCGTGGAGAGCCGGTTCCAAATTCGCTAATAATACGACTCTACTCCACAAGTTATCTTCTGATTTTTTTGATCCTCACAAAGAGAAGGAGTCATCCACCAATCCAGAAGGAGACAACCAGAACAAATCAGAAGGTCAGGCACCTGCACTACCGACAAAATTAAGCAGAAAAATGAATCCTTTCTGAACTTTAGTGAGACGTGTTCGTGCCGGAAGAAGATATTTTTTTCTATCCTTACTCTGAAGAATTTCAACCAATAGGAATATACAACAATTCATTTGGAATTAACTGTCAACTGCTCTTTCCGGTACTGAGTAGTACGCAAGTACCATAGTAAAGAATCATATATTTTATATATGACAAGACCTAAGTTTCCTTAAATACTTAATGAAGATTGACAATCAGTGAAAGAGAAAAATACTTGATGAAAGCTGGAATTTATTTTAACAGAACAATGTAACCAAAATAATTAATAAATAATTAGTTAATAATTATAAAAATTTAACAATTAACGTTAGCTTCATTGCCAACCATATTTACTGCTAACAGCGCCGTCTCTAACACCGAGTCAAGACGTTAAAGCGCACTATCAAGCAATTTACGTTAAAATGTCAAGATTTGCAAATATGTTTAAAAACAAATACACATAAAACCTAAATACCCATATTTATATTAAATCAAACCAATTATTACTTAAATCATAATTATCTAAAAATATATTATATTTCATACTATAAGAAGATTCACGACAGATATAGTTATTTACAACCAGAAGGTAAGTGTAAATACACCGGTTTATTTATAGCTTTAAATTTATAACAATAACAAACATTTTAGGAATTATTTACTGATCGAATAAAAATGTACTTATACGATATAATATTTCTAACTGTATTTAAAAAAAAAGGAACATATCCAGGAAAAATCAGCTTGAATATATATTTTAATTTTAAAAAGGTAAAAATAGAAAGGAAGGAAAACATTTTCCACTATACTTCGAAAATCAAGAATTTTTCTTCAACATGATATCTAAATGAAGCTACTAATTATCAGGTATAGTAATTATTTTTTTTAAGAAAATAGAGTGAATGTTATTTTTTTTCTTTTCCAATAAAAATTTATTCCATCATAACAATTAAATTTATAGAAAGGAACTGATATTTTATTCCTTTTTAACAGCTAGAAGTACAAAATATATCAAAGAAACCCTATTGAAAATATAAATACATATAATAAATAGAACCAAAGAATAAACAAGTGAGTATGATCATAAACAAGCTGAGTATCTCATGCTCTTAAGGAACTGTAGAAAATGACTGCCTACTGATTTTTTTATAAAATTTTTGACTCGTAACAACATCATATAAAATATCATATACAAAAAACATGTAACGAACTAAAAACGTTACAATGTAACTGAAGAAGTAAAAGAATTGAAACATATTTCTTAGTTTAAAAAAAATGTATTGAAGAGGATGAAATGGAATAGTTCAACGTTTAGTATAAAAATAATGAATTCACAAAAAACATGTATTTATTAAGAGATTAGTTGAACAAAGTTTAATTTGGGTGTATTTAATCATTGCATATGTTTTATAATAACAGAAAATGTATTCCTCCCCTATACGTAATATAATGTAAGGGCACTTTTGTATTGTGTTGAACTCATATTGTTCCTATTAGCTTACGAATTGTAGTTTTCTGATTAGATCACCATAACAACTCAAGTTCGTTCAACAAAGTTCAAAAGGTCTGTTGGCCAACTGTTTAACAAACTATTTAAATGAAAAAAGGAATTACGTTGTGTTAAAACTATTTTTTATTGTGATAACCTCGTGTGCGCTCGACAGAAGCAATATTAAGACAATTTGAGGAGAATATTTTAATTAATAATAAATAATAAATAATAATAAATTAATTAATAATTTGAGGTTATGTGTAACTCAAACGCTAAATTAGTAAATAGCCTCATTTATTTTATTAAATGAAATGAAAAGTGTCCCGAACTCTGCCTGGAATTCACAAGTAAAAGAGCACGGCAGAGAAAACCTTGATCCCTATTCAAAAGAATCCAACTATGCTGTTCTTAACTTTAATAAAAGAGAAACAATAATAATACAAATGCTGTTTTCATACCAAGGTTTAAAGTTTAACAAACTTAAAACATTCCTAACTGAAGAGGTTTTGTTAATTAGCAGGTACTGAAGTCCCTCGATTCGGGAGGCTACTCAGCTATAGTTGATATGTTTAGTGCCAATATCTTTAGACTATGAGTTATACCATTCTTTCGTTTTGACTCTTCATTTCCTCTGTGTGGTAGTGCTAAGATATTCGCTAAAAATTTACAAACCAAAATAACATTAATGCGTCTCGAATGGTAGTTTAAAAGTTATTACCTAACACTATTCATCTCTGTTCGTTATTTTTCCCTCTCCCTAGTTTGCGAATAATATTAATAATAATAAAAATTAATAAATTTTTTTATTTATGTATACAGAGTATCTTAAAACTGAATATTTTAAATTTAAAGAAATATGTTTATTTTATATAGGCGGCACATCTCAATAGGAAACTATACTTAACTTAAGTTAAAATTAAACCAATTAACTGCAATACAGCCAAAACACATTAAATATTTGAAACTTAGATTTTTAATCATCTGTTTATGACTAAATCACGATTAACGAAATGTACGTGAAATTTAAAATAAAGTGCTTTGGTCTACTGTGGCAAAATTAGTGTAATTTTCTGATAAAATATCAAATGTTTCCAGCCTCAATTGTATGAGCTTTAAGCTCTAATACTATTAGCCAGCGCCAATAGTATTCTACTATTAACATAAATATTTGAATTGTTTTGCGATGAATAAAATAGCCATGGAATTAGTACATTTCCATGAATTGGAAATTTTTAAATAGGTCACAAAACATTTCATTGCCGCATTGTATTTCGACTCGACAGAATTGCAGTGTAATTTTCCCGAAAATCCCAAAAGTACACATATTAGGAATATGCGGTTGAAACTCGCTGCTTTTAGAGCAAGTTGGTAAATAATAGAGCCGATATTAAAGCTCGCATTTTTAGTTAGTTCGAACAATAGAACCGGCTAACTTTTGTAACTCAATTGAAAACTTAGTTTCAAGTCTTGTTATTTCTTGAAGTGCAGCTGCATATGCAGGCAATGCATACACAAAAATAATACTAGGTTATGTTAGTCTTATTAATTAATTATTTTTTTCATAAATTTACTTTTAATGACTATAGACAAACAATTCTTATGGAACTTGGTATAATATTTTATGTCAACGTATAAACTTATTGGAACAACACATTTTGGACATACCAGATTAAAACTAAATATTACTATTTCTATTAGGTAGTATTTTA